CTCAAAACAGGCCAAGAAAACAAATGGTCTTGGGTTCTCGGCTATAATCTTCTGATCTCCACTTTCAAATTCAAAATGGCCCCTTTAGTGCTAAGGGAAGTCTTAGAGGAGTCTCAGATGTTGGTGTTCTTTGGAATTACCTTGCAGAACTCACAACTATGCTCTGACTCAACTGCAGAGACCAGGGTCTGTGCTTGAAAATTCTGCAGGTGTTTCAGTTATCTGTGTGGAGTTTGGTTCCCTGGCAGAGCTCTGCTGGCTTGGCTTGTTGAGCCTGTCCTGTGTCTGCTCCTTCATTTCAAGAGAGGTCGATACTCCTTCCTTTTTCTGCCTTAGAGAGCTGAAAGGAGGATATCAAAGAATAAGAATAGAAAACATGAAGTTCTAGTGAGGGCGATCGATATAGGATTTAACTCAGAGCCTTGCATCTGTGGATGGACAAAGTGAAAAGATACTGTGAGGGAGGCTTTTGGGGGATGTTGGAGAAGTTGGTAAAGAAGAGATAAGAGGAACTTATTTATAGAGAGAGGAAAAGAGCCCTGATTGTCAATCTCCCTCTTCTCTCCCCTTCCTAACAGTGGAGCAGACAGATCCAGGAAGTACTGAGGGGGCGATAACCCTCACCTGTTTCATCTCCCCTCTCCTCTCAGGCACTTCTGTAGGAGCCTAGCACTTCAAGGGACATGGTTTGTGAGCCACCTGGGGAGCAGAAAGAACTCTAGGCTTTGGAAGCAGGCTGAATCCCAGCTTGACCCTGTCCTCCAGCAAGCCTTTAAAACTCTCTGGCCAGGGCTTCCTTTTTTCCAGTTGTACTCACCAGGCCCTTGGCAACTCTGCAACACTCTGAGTCTATGGAAAGTGCTTTGGAATGAGTGAGGAGCTGAGGAAACAAAATCAGGGTGTTTGGTTAGTCGTGGAAAGAAGAGAGGAACTGAGTCCAGGGCAACAGCTGAGTCTGTAGGGCTGGTGGGAGAAGCTGAAAGCCTGGCTCCCAAAGAAGGGCTGATGGCAGAGGGGGCATACAGAGAGGAATAGGACTGATTTGTACCATGCTTAGCCTGGATGGGTGGGACTGGCCCAGGACTGGCTCGGGCCTTCTGTGGTTTCTGGGGCTGAGCTGGGGGCCCGCTATTCATGTGCTCTGACATCAGTGTCCAGGCCTATCTGGGGCTGGAGCTGTTGTGTTGGCAGCAGCACATACAGTATGGTACCTTGTGTCCTGGAATGGGCCCAAACTCATTTTCCCAGGACTCAACCCACACAAGGGTCCTCAGTGCCTTCTTACACCTTCTGCTCCAGCTACCAACAGGGGCTGTAGCAAAAAACTAGGGAAGCCAGGGAAAGAGGGAAAGACCTGGCCCTGGTCTTGGATCTCAAGAAATTGAGCTGAATGTAATGGGAGGCTCCTTGGGTCTCTGATGTGCCCCCCAGGGGAGACTTGGGCCCAATTGCACAGCTGCTTCCTGGGTTATAATCTCTAGGGACCCAATGACATAGCTTGTTTCATTAAGGGACTGTATTAGAGAAGTTTTTTTTTAGCTCAGGAAAGAAAGTCACAGGGCATGAAGCTATCACGCTCAGTCTTTTTCACTTCAAATTGTGTAGCAGATGGCCAAGGGCAGCACAGCACTAAGCTGTAAAAACCAGGGAAGGGTGTAGACATAAATGTGTGCATACATGCATACACTCAACTTCCTGACCAGGAAGTGGAAACACATAGCGTGAAGGTCATGGCAAGCTAGCGTCTATGGCTCCTCATACCCCATTGGGAATCCTCTTACTTTGACAGGGTCAGAGAGTCTTTTGAGAATATCAGAAATGATATAGGAAGTCAGAACTAAAGTCCATGTGTCTTAGTATCATTGCCACTACTGCCATCATTGTAATCACTACACCACCACCATCACCATCATTATCATTATCACCATCACCACCACCATCATCATCTTCATCATCGTCATCATCAGTCAACAGGAATCTGTGGAAAGGTTCCCCAGAGGAGAAGCCTCAACCACTGCTACTACAAGAACAAATGCCAGGCCATGGGAGACCCCCAACCTAGGAGCCCCCAGTAGGTACCCTCCCCATGGGGAGGGCCTAGGAGCACAAGCCTTGGGGTGAGGGTTATTTGGCTTAGTAGCTACAATGGTTCATGATCTTAATGTATTAGAATTGCTGAAGAATTTTTTTTTTAAAGTTTTGATGCTGGGGTTACAACAGAGACTGTTTAAATCAGAACCACTGAGGAAGGAGAGGAAGTATGGGACCAAGAACTAGGTGATTCCACCGTGTAACTATGTTTCATGGGTGTTATAGACCAGCACCTCTCAAACCATAACTGAGGATTTTGTTAAATGCTGACTCTGATCAGTGGGTCCTGGCAAGGGACAGAGAGCTGTCTCCAGCAAGCTCCCAGGTGATGCTGAGGCAGCTGGTCCCAGACCACACTTTGAAAAGTGAGAACCCTGCTTAGAGGTTGGGCCATCTCCTCACAACTCTGAAGTCAAATGGCCTCAGCCAGTTATTAGCTATGTGACATTGGTAAGGTCCTCAGTATCTGGTTCCGACCTCATTTGTAAAATGGGGCTTCAAGTAATACTTGTTTTCCAGAAGCAAGTAAGAGTAAGTAAAGTCAGTGAGATTAAGGAAGTTCATGCTTTCTATTGCCTCACCCTGAATAATTATAAAAGCATATCTCACCTTGTGTATATTATATGTCTTGCTGCTTGGAGGACTACCAGTCTTTCCTTGGGCTAAAGCAAATTCCTGCCATGGATTCTTCTCCAGGCTAGAGGTTAGGAAACTAGAGGTGCAGGGGCAGAATCAGTACTTAGAGGGAGTGGAAGTACTTAGGTAGTAATGAAAGCATTTTTTCCCCCGGTACTAGGAATTGAACCTAGGGTGTTATGCATACTAGTCAAACATTGTACCACTGGATTACATCCCCAGCCCCTCAGCCCCCATTTAAAAAAAATTTATTTTTAGTTGTAGATGGACACAATATATTTATTTTATTTATTTACTTTTATTCAGTGCTGAGGATCAGACCTAGTGCCTCACACATGCTAGGCAAGCACTTTACCACTGAGCAATTACCCAACAAGCCCCCATTTTAAAGTATTTTATTTTGAGACAGGGTCTTGTAAAATTGACTATGACCTTGCACTTGCAATCCTCATGCCTCAGTCTCCTGAGTAACTGGGATTTGCAGGTGTGGGCTACCACATCTTGCTATGAAAGAAAATTTAAATGAGTAACATCTAGCATCCC